AAAATGTTTGATGTGATATCCATCCTTAATTGATAATTAGTAGCATGTATACCCATGGCTTGTTTTCCCATAGCCGATTGATAAGTATTACGAGGTGACTGAAATAAATGTAACAAATTTAGGTAATTTAGATAATAGTGATAGTAGTAGTAATAAAATAACTTGTTTTTTCAGAAAAAAAATACCTGGTTATGATCTGGAAATGGAATAAGACTGGCACATATTCCCAAAACCATACTCGGATGGATTTCGCAGTGAGTCCATCTATCTGTGAAGGCTGGTGTAGTCTTCATTCTCTCAAATAAACTGCGTTTTTTCATTGGTGGAGGTTGCATATCCAAAAATGCATAACCCCATTTATTTCTTGCCTCTACTAAATCTTCTGGTGTCATACAAATCAATGATACTTCTTCTTCTTCAGCATCAAGATATTCAATGCACCCTTCTTGAATCAAACGGTCCCAATCAAGGTAATCTTCATGATCATCTTCCAATTGTTCTGTCCTCTAAAAGCCAACCATACTTTAATAACTTAATTTGTTAATTCGCTTCATTAAAAACACTTACGGTGAGATCGAGCTTTCGAATATGGTTATGAGTTATCACTAATGAAGAATCATGAACTGTGAATAGTGGTCTGCAAACTCGCCCAGGATCACAATATATTCTTAATTCCCTATCATTAACGTCATTTACTATACTAATATCTTCACAAAATGCTTTCTTTGCTTCTTTTAATGAAATGACTATATCATCAGGAGAACGTGTTACTCCAATCCAATTACCATTTAATATAACTTTTGTTTTAGTACATATATCTTGAAGAATGTCATCAGTCTGCGAGAAAGCTTGTAACGTTCCAGTTTCATTAATATGATCAATTAATAATTTTGAAGACTCTCCAACAGAAATATATGACATCAAGGAAAAGTTTTTCATTAGACCACACGCTTGTCCTTCGGGAGTTTCGGCAGGGCATATGAATCCCCAATGTGTGTTATGGAGTTGACGTGGTTTCGTAACTTTGCCATCGCGATCAATTGGTGCATTGCATCTTCTGAGATGTGACAAAGTCGATGAGTAAGAATATCGGTTCAACACTTGGGAAACACCAGATTTAGACTACAAAAGTTTTCAAATAAAAATGTAAAAATTTCATGTCTATGAAAAAAAAAA